GACCCTACAGAGTGCTACAGATGGTCAGGGGTGTGTGCTTACACTATATGAGGAGCTCTCCCCCCCACCCCACCCCCAGCTTCAAGAGGAAGGGGGGGTGAGGGTCTGTTTGGGAAAGCTTGTCCGGAGTGGACCCAGGGCGTTTGTTTGCTTCCAGGTTGGGTTGCACACCCCTCCCCCCTTTATAGCATGTCCAGTCTGACCATCTTCCTCCGCTCCCTCTCCGCCCCCCCTTTTTTTCAGGCTCCCATTGTCTCTCCCTGAAAGAAGGGTTTGTTGAGCAGGGGTGGAAGCAGCAAAGGACGTGGGGGCCCCCCACCCCACGTGTCCTCCTGCCCCTTCTCTTTCGACTCACCCCTCCAGGCCCTCGGCTTTCATCTCCAGAGGAGGATTTCCAGGCAGGCTACCTGGGCGGAGGTTTTTTGGGCCCCCTTTGCCACAAACAACCTATCTTGGAATCCCCCCCCCCCGTCTTTTATTGGGCAGCAGCTTTTTGGGACCTACAGGTGAAGCAGCCGGCTTCTGCAGCCGCTGTCTGCAAACAGTCCTGCCCCATAAAACCTGCTCGCCTTTGGGGGTCCACTCTGCTTTCTGTTGCTGCCTGGCAAAAAGCAGGATGGTGACCTACGAAGCAAGCCATGGGGGTTCACCAGGATGCCCGTCTTCTTCTCCTCTCAGGTTTTTGGCTGCAAGGGGCTCTGCTGATAATTTTTTCCAGGGTTTTCCATGCACAAAAGCCTTGGTGGGGTTTGCTAGCTCAATTTGCACACAGCGCATGTACGGCTGGAAGCACCGTGTGCTTGTCTGTGAATATTAAGATGTGAAAATACACTTTTGGATTCCAGGGGAAATTTTAGGTGTTACTTTTACCCTTTCCCCCTCCTGGATACCCATAGTAGCTAGGAAGCTCCACTTGACTTCAGAGTCCTCAGTGTTATTTCATATTGTTGCATGGTTTTTTAACCAGTTTTCCGCTTCAAATAAGTATTTTCCCTTCCCTCCCACCTTTCTTCTCTGATGTGTTTATTTCTTTTGGACAGATACCTGGTTCCCCAAAAAGCCAGCTCTCACCAAGACTCCCTGATGCCTACACCCTGGGAGCGTTATGGATTTGACTAAGATGGGTATGATCCAGCTGCAAAACCCCAGCCATGCCACGGGGCTGTTGCAGAAAGCCAACCAGATGCGCTTGGCTGGGACCTTGTGCGACGTGGTGATCTTGGTGGACAGCCAGGAGTTCCACGCCCACCGGACTGTCTTGGCTTGCACCAGCAAAATGTTTGAGATCCTGTTCCACCGCAGCAGCCAGCGCTACACCTTGGACTTCCTCTCGCCAAAGACCTTCCAGCAGATCCTGGAATACGCCTACACGGCCACCTTGCAGGCGAAAGTGGAAGACCTGGATGATCTCCTCTACGCGGCCGAGATCCTTGAGATCGAGTACCTGGAGGAGCAGTGCCTAAAGCTCCTGGAGACCATCCAGGCCTCCGAAGACAATGATGTCGAGGTCAGCATGGCCGATGGTGGTGCGGAGGAGGAAGAGGAGCGCAAGACGAGATACGTGAAAAATATCCTCCTCTCCAAGCATTCCAGTGAGGAGAGCGGCTACTCCAGTTTGGCCAGCCACAGGCTGACGGGGGCCATGGTGGAACAGAGCCCCTCCGTCTCCACCTCCTTCGGCCTCTCGGCCATGAGCCCCACCAAAGCGGCCGTCGACAGCTTGATGACCATCGGCCAGTCCATTTTGCAAGGGGCGCTGCAGCCCGGCGCCCCCGAGGACTCGCACTTTGCCGGCAGCCACCCCCTGCAGGGCGTGTCCGAGGTGAAGACGGAAGCCATGCAGGTGGAGGAGGCACCCGGCCACGGGAGCCCACGGACAGCTGAGTCCAGCACCTCTACGGGGGACAAGGCTGAGGATAAAAGCAAGCAAGGGCCCGGCACCCCGACGCGAAGCAGCGTCATCACGAGCGCCCGCGAGCTTCATTATCCCCGGGACGAAAATGCTGAGCTGCTCCCTGAGGCGGTCCCCGGGGCGCCCCTGGGTCCGGAGCTCATGCTGTCTCGCGGGGAGAAGCCCATGGGCATCTATTCCATGCTGCCCAATCACAAAAACGACTCTTCCATGCTCAGCATTCCCTCCTCCATGGGGCCTGCGCTGCACGTGCAGCCGGCCCTCGCGGTTTCCATGGACTTCAGCGCCTATGGGGGGCTCCTTCCACAAGGCTTCATCCAGAGGGAGCTTTTCAGCAAGCTCGGCGAACTGGCCGTGGGTATCAAAACAGAAAGCCGGAGCGGCGGCGAGCAGTGCAGCGTCTGTGGGGCAGAGCTGCCGGACAACGAGACGGTGGAACAACATAGGTAGGTCCTTTTTTGCCTTCTCTCTCTCTCTTTCTCCCTGGCCTTTGGTCTGTGTCTCTTTTCACAGTGAAATCTTGCTTTTAGTTTGTGTTTTTTTTTTTAATCCCGCCTGTATCGCTTCAAAGGGACGTGGTGGTGCTGCGGGTTAAACCACAGAAGCCTCTGTGCTGCAAGGTCGGAAGACCAGCTGTCGTAAGATCGAATCCATGCGACGGAGTCAGCCCCCGTTGCTTGTCCCAGCTCCTGCCAACGTAGCCGTTCGAAAGCATGTAAAAATGCGAGTAGATAAATAGGGGCCACCACGGGGGGAAGGTCATAGCGTTCTGTGTCTAGTCGCACTGGCCACATGACCACGGAAACTGTCTTTGGACAAACGCTGGTTCTACTGTTTGGATATGGGGATGAGCACCGCACCCTAGAGTGAGACACGACTGGACTAAATGTCAAGGGGAACCTTTATCTTTACCTATCTCTTCAAACTTGTGTAACGGACACAGCACACATTAAGGAAAATTAGTTCTTCCCTTAGTGAATTATTTGTCCCTCCAGGCACACAGCTCCTTCAGCTCTCCATGCTTGAGCTGTACAGCTAGCCAACGAATCCTGCAATTGGTCCTCCTAACGATCACTTCACAAAACAGAAGTGAGCTGTTTCGCAAGAAGCGGGGAGAGGCAAGGTCAGACTAGAACAACCAGGCAGCATTTTCAGCAACACGGGGTGCTTTCTGTCCAGTGTTGTGCCTCCTGTATTATTTCGTTGGGGCCTCATTGATTTTAGCCTTTGCCTAATTGATTTCAGTAGCCTAAAACAGACATGCTAGGCCTTTCTTTCTTTTTTAAAGTTATCCCAAAGTCAGACACACAATATGGAATGTTCTGCATTAGCTTTGGCTGGTAATCTGAGTAGAAGTTAATGCACAGTAGATTTTTCTTCATTGTAAATGACACGTGGAGACTTTATTAATTAATGTAATGTCATATTTAATAATATTTTTAACAATATCCTACAGACAATCTAGTAGCTGGTTCGTTGCCACCAGAGTAGAAACTGGGGGTTTGGAATAGGTATCGGGAGAACTGAATTTCCTTTTAGACCAGTTGTTTGAGCAGAATGGGCATCTTTCAGCCTTTGGTGACTGTATTGAGGGCGAAGAGTTTGGCCGGTAAATTTTTCAGAGATCCGAAGGGGGTTTCACCCACGTGCTTGGAAGGAAGTAGCTCTCGGCTACAATTGAATGCAAATTAACGTTGCAGTGAGCAATTTTGTCATTAATTGCAGCCCTGTGCAATTTCGTGCTGTTTCTTATTTTTTTTAAAAAAATAGGATTCTACCATCAGTCCCTGGGCTTTGATTGCAGCCACAAAGTTTGCAGTGATGACTTATATTTATTTATTGTTTATCCCTTCCTGTTCATGTCTTACATGATGCATTTTGGAGTTCAGGCTGTACTGCCCCCTTTCCTCTGACATCGGAGCACCCGTGTGTCATGTTAGTGTGGTAATTATTGTTTTTGGCATTGGGACATTGTGCAGTGAGCTTGCTGGGTGCCTGTAGCTGCAGCCTGTTTGCTTCTTGGAAGCCGCTTAGCAAGTAAGACTCTGAGGACAATTTGCTTTAGATCACGTTCTGGGCACAACTTCCCATGTTGTCCTTTCTTGAATCAGGACTTGCAGTTCTATGGTTCTTTTTATTTTTATTTTTGAAAAATGTGCACCTTGCTGAGGAAATAATTTACAAAAAAAGAGGAATGTGGTTCATTAAAAAACAACAACAAAACCCTTCACAAAACGGCACACGGGAGAATGCACAACAACAACAACAACAACAAAAACCCTTCACAAAAAATGCACACAAGAGAATGTTGCTTGGAGAAAAGGTGCATATTAGGTAGAACTTTGTGTGAAGTCTGTAAATGAGGGAAAAGCAAATAAAAGGTGTACAGATTTTCCCATGGGCGCCTAAAATCTAATTTTCAAACTATCGGGGAAATGGAATGGCATAAACTGAGAAAGAGATGGGAAAATAAGAAAATAATTTACAAAATCAATATGCCAATGACATTTTTCCCTCAGCTCCTGAAAATGCCAGATTCAAGAGTATATGCATATCGAAGTTTATAAATGATATTAAAGTTAGTTGTTTTTTTTTTTAAAAAAACCAGTCTCTTTTTAATATACATTGTTGTTGTCTTCTTGACTACCAGTTCAGTTTTCCAGTTTTTGCAACATGTCATTCTCACTGGCCCAAAAAGAATGGGCTAAAATGGGCCGTTCTCACTTTGGGCTATGGATGTTTGCCGCTGATCTAAACAGATTAACACAGAAAAAAAATTAAATTGCATGCATTTCCATGATATATTTGCGAGCTGGAATCGATGAAAATGTGGTGATCTTTATGAACCATGCAGTCCTATACGCATCTACTCAGAAGGAGGTCTCGCTAAATTCAGCGAGGTTTCCCTCTGGGTGTGTGGATATTGGACGACAGCAACCTTCTAAATTTGGGGACGGTGTCAAATCTGAGTGTTGTTGGCTTGTTTTAATTTGAGCTGTGGTTCCCAAATTAAGTGATATGTGTGTTTTCAGAAATGAAACAAAACATGGGATATATCCCCCATTCCAAATACTGGGAGGACATTTCTATTAAATAGATGATTCTGTTTTTGTTTTATTTTGAAAGCCCATCTCTGATTCTCAGCCGTAGGAGTTTCAGCGACGAGTGTGATTAATCTTTTGCGTTTCTTGAGCAAACTTCCGGCTATACCTTTTTGGGGGAAACCCTAGCAAACAATCTGAGTAAAGCTCCATTATTTGGTAGGTGTAGGCCTTTCTTTCTTTCTTTTCGTAGCTGAAGGCCCCTTTGGGGGGAATCAGTTTATTTTCTAAGTTGTGGGGTAGCTGCACCCAGTCATATGTGGATCTTGGAAGAGAAACAGGGTTCGGGAAGCCACATGCTCTCCATGTCAGGCTTTGCCAGGCTGTGGCAGAAAACTGAAACCAGGGTTTCTGAGTGCCTTGGTTGAGCCCTGTGCAAACATTTGCATTGGATATATAGAGTTAAGCATATTTCTTGTGTATCTAATACTGTGTAAACATATTACAAAGCTCCCAGCTAATGGGATTCGAAGAAAACAGTGTTGGATATGCTCCGAAGTGTTTTAATGAACCAACACGTTTAATTAACGTAGTTCAAATGTACATAGTGTACACAAGAGGCTCTGATACAGTGCGTTCTTTTATTACCAATTTGTGGTTGTATGTGTGTGTGTGTGTGCTTACATGGCTTCATAATGGCTTGGAAGTCTGGGCTGATTTTAGAAACTGCTGGTTTTGAGAAAAAGCGGAAATAATTCGGGACTGACCTCACAGCTCACCAAAGTTACCTTGGTGGTTTGTTTATTTAAAAGATTTTTACCCTGCCTCCATGCCCCAGGTAGCACGGTGCCTGGTGACATTCTCTGGTGGGTTCAGCGAGTCACCGTCCAAAAAGTAACATTTCTAGGCTCTGGCTAACGTGTGTTTACCTCTCAATCCCTCCCTTCATTAGTAAGCACTTTATCTTAAGGGTAGCTTTTGGAGGGTAGTTTGAAACCTCTCAGCACAGTTGGGTGGGTTCTGCTGTGGTGGCTTTCTCAGACCGTTGCTTGATTTTAGTCCTTGATCTAGAAATGGACTCTGATGTTGAAAGCTGTTATGTTTGGCAAGGAAAGACAGAAAATGTTACTTTTTAAGATTGCAACTCCCAGAATACTGCGGCTTGCGCAACAACAGCCACAAAAAAACCCCCACAACTACAAGAGTTATTACGCTGATAAAGCAGCCATCTTCTCTTATCCTTCTTGCATGTCCCATGTTCACCGATCCATTGTGACAGATGAAGCCAGCTTCTGAGTTTCTGGGGTTTGATTCACTTCAAGCCATCATTGTGGTCTCATATAATGGAATCCTTTCCCACCCCAAGGACAGTAAAAATTCCCACCTTTAAAAATCTAGTGTATCAGGATGAATGCTTCTAGCCTAGTTTTGCCTCCTTGACTTACTAGATTTCTGTCTCTGGTTTTGACTGGAATTCAGCAGTTCCAGGGCAGTCAGCCATTGATGCAGCTGAGAAACAAGTTTATTACACCTTCCTTGTTGGAGGACATGGATTCTTCGCTGAACGTCTGGAAAGGCAGGGACTGCCCTTGTGAAGGCATCAGAAGGTTGTTCTCCAGAAAAATAGCTTTAAGGATGCTAAGGCTTATGGGGTCTCCTTATGGGCTTCAGTCCTGTGCCCAATTTCCAGGAAGAAAGCCCCACTGGACCCAGAATGATTATGGGAGAGAACTATGCAATTTCAGAGCCATGAAACACTTACTCAGCACCCCTGACGCACTGGGGACTGCACAAACTTGGGTGGGACTTCATCTCTGTCTGCAGTTCACAAGGGAACTCACACGCTTAGCATGTGCGCATAGGTACATGCATTTTTTTCCTGCAAGCCATATTGTTGCTTTTCTATTTCTGTTGCTGCGCCAAAGGCAAACAGCTGGCCTTAACCAAACAGGTAACGGAACCCGTTCCCCTTCTCCTATCCCCGGGTTTCCCTACCTTTGGAATTTGAAATAATCCGTGCCCATCTCTTACAGAAGAACTTTCTTTACTGCCCAGGTGTCCTACTCTTAGGTCTGGCTGGAATGCACAACGTCAGGCTTTGAACAATAGACAAATAGACAAGGATGCATGGCCGTACATGCATAGGTGCCAGAAAAAGAGAGAGAGAAAGAGAAAGAAAGAGAGAGAGATGCAAGGTTAAATGGACTCAAGAAAGAAAGAAAGAGAGAGAGAGAGAGATGCAGGGTTAAATGGACTCGCAATTTAACAACAACCCGTCTTGATATATACTTTCAGCCTTCCTCCTGCCCCCTCCTCAAATGGAAATCTCTGTGGCTGATGTCTCTGGGTAGCTGTCCTAAGCCGAGCGAAGCGGCACAAACACTGGAAAATGGCAAGTGTATTTC